CCAGCTAGTATATACTAGTGTTGAGGAACTGGCCGCGTGGGCTTTCAAGCTTCCCGTGCTAGTGTCCTCGTATCTGCTCATTCTAAAAGCACCGTCGAACGTCGGGTATTCAGGCGGGATCATATGACTTATATTCCCCACTATGAATTCATATCGATAAGAATTCGAGGATAATGCCCCTCCAAATTGAGTTTAACTGCTATATCCATGGCTTTCTGTGCATAATGGGTGACATGCGAGGGACCAGTTGTCAATCCTTGTCACATGCGAAAATATTTCAAAGCGATTTTTGGAGAAAATATAGCATTGGCACACGTCGATTGAGGTTTTTTTTTTTTTCTTAATCGATCTATCATATTTTCTCTCATGAGTGGTGTGTCTTACATTTGTTCCCTATTTTTCTACTGGCTCGTGGATTAAGTTTAACGGTCGTGTCACGAGAAAACAAATGTGTACTTTGCGAGATTGAATGCCATTGGATTGAATGGTTTTTTTAGGGCTGAACTGCATCGCAGCTTACAGCCGGATATCATCGGTGGCATACGTAGACTCTAAAGGTTTTACTTGAGATCCACAGAGATCGAGGATGTGCGCCTATGTAGGATATGATATCTATTGGTGGATATCTAGAGAGTATCATGCAATAGTTCGATATAATATCATGCTTGAATTCTGCAGAAGCCAATGTTTTTCTAGAGGAAAATTCCATGTGAAACATAAACGGGAAAGGCCAGGGCAGAATAACTGGATCACCTCGTGAGGACGGCTACACTTGGTATCAAGCAATCTAGTCTAGTCTAGACATAGGTGTTAAACCAAGCCGGGCTCTAGCAGTAGGCTCGTTACAAGTCGATCCATGGCTTGAGCAAAAAGAAACTAGAAAGAAAAGAGACATATCTACTACCCTCGATACGCGTTGAAGCTATTGGGGTAATGCAGAAGTGACCAAGGAGTATTAACAGTGTAGGTAGACGGGAGTAAGCATCAATACGAAGACCTGCAGCTATCCACTCGGTTAGGCTGCCTGCAGTAAGTACCAAGTAGGATACTTCAACCACATTCTGTCGACGAGATTCCGGTATAATGCGGATATAGTTCAAATTCTAGCAGCCTTCTTCAATAAACTGATCCTCTGCTCGGCTTCGGCCGGTTCTTCGATACCCATGAGTTCCTATGGTGATGGCGAAAAGTTTTGATATTTATCAGTTTCTGATCCGAAGGCAACTCAAAGTAGAATGTGTGATTTTGAGGTTCAGTGGAAGCAGCATTCAAAAGAGGAATGTGTAGGTGAGTTGTCTTGTACAACGTTACGGTTAAACGGCATGGAAACCGTCTACAGCCTTCGTGACCCTTGGCTGTCTCGTTGAAGACACTGTGGGAAGAAAGGACTGCGGTCGTTCTCCTTAACACAACCAAGGTACATGTACACGAATAAGATATCTCCCGAAAATCTGGGGGAACACAACCGACGGAAGGCTGCAGATATTTTGTTTTTAGGCATTCCACAAAAGTGTGTTACCCAGGGCTTGCTAATTTCGTTTGTAAGGGAATGCGGGATTTAGGAAAGGGCTGACGCATCTGGTAGGATAAACGAAGAATGGAGGGGGGAGAGATGAGATGAGTGGTAGTGAGTGATGAGGTAGAGAGAAGTATGATTGGTGATGTCGAAAACTGGTTGGATAATCGTAAATCCGGGACAAGGGATGGTGGTGTGGTTCGGGTGGCACAAAATAACCAGCTCACCGGAAAGCTCCACGGGATTGACTTTCGAGTTGATGGAAACGATAACGAAGGAAAGGTGGTGGCGGGCCGTGGGCGAATGAAGTGGATTGTACGTATGTATCAAATGCGGTGAAACCTCGATAGTCGAAATGTTTCGGGTTGTACACACTATACTTGATGCATCCTCTGGGCAAATTATGCCTAGTAGACTCCCTCGTCCGACACCAAGGTACATCCCACGCCGAGACAAATAGGAAGCCCCCTTGCAAGGAATCGCAATCGAAGGCCCAAAGTGCGAGGGTGGCTATCGCTAAAGTGGTCATGTTATGAGAAGGGTGGGTATAGCTCACCTTCAGATCCTTGAGATTGACATCACTGCCCATACCATCTGCAACAGCTTCGAAGAACTCCTTCGACCACTTCTTCCTAGCGATCCACAACCCTTGCATCCTCTTTACCTCCATCTGCAACCTTTGCTTGTCCTCAGCTGATACCGGTTTCACATCGCCGCTGCGTAAAGACTTGAGACGGCTGCGTAGGTCTGTGACTTCTTGCTGTAGGGTGTCCACTTTGGACTCGAGATCATCTGCGGTTGGCATGGAACGAAAGTTTTGAAGTGTCACCTGGAGGGATTTTAGTTCAACCTTTAGTGTCGACGTGCGTTCCTTCATAGCCTCGACCGATGCTTTCATATCCGCGATTTCTTCCGGTGAAGCAAGGTCATCAGGGTCCTAGAAGAGTAGATCAGGAATATCATCCGTTAACCGAACCTGCTGACTAAAGTAATAAACACCAAGGAGCCTTGTTCGTGATTTCGTCGATAGTGTGCTTATCCGAGGGTTGGGCTTCATGCGAAATAGGTCGGGTCAGAGCCGGATTCCGATATGTTCCTCCGGGATAGATGTGGAGCTGGTAGTGGAGACGCAAGCCAATATCTGGAGAGAAGGGCTCTGTGTAAGGGGTACATCTCGACAGGTTCCCTTCCTGATAGAGGTACTTTGGCTAAAGTATTGCCCCCTCGGCGAGGGATCTCCCACTATCCCTGATCTTCTCTAAACCATGGGAAGCCCTGGTGGTCCAAGACCTCGAATTGGGCTACGCACACCTGCAACATCTGCAACATGCACAGACCAGACGAGAGCTCTGTCATCATCTTCACTATACTGCCCTTCCGATATTCTTACCTGAGGAGTATGATAGACCATTTGTTTCCCTATTGAATTGTTCACACCATTCAGCGAGTCAGCCAAGTCCACAAAGGCGCCATGGATTGTAGTCATTTGCTCGTATTCGGCTGGTCCGGGCAGCCCAGAACCACCCCTTTGTCTTCATCGACCGTATATTCGTCGATCGGACACGGAGTGTTTAGGGAGTGTTAAGCCCTTTACTTACCAGAGACGCAAACCACTAGATCTCCACTATCACTCAACTCCTTGAGTAGCTTTGCCGCATTCGCCTTCGTAACCGCGTTATGTAAATTGGCACTAATGTCCGTTGCCGAATATGGGCGGTTCTGCTTTTGTAGGTAATCTAGAATCATTTCAACGGCTGAAATACAATGCGTTAGTAGTATATCCACGTCTGTCGTCCGGCTATTCAATAAAAGCAAACCGATAATAAAAGAAAATTTAAAAAGAAGGCCAGATTTCCTGGAAAAATTTCAGCCCTCTGGGATTTTCCCCTCTTCCCAACCTCAGCTGGTTCACCTCGGGCGGCAGGCTGCCCCAGCTTCGTCTCCAACGCTCGGAGATTATTCCTGCCGATGCATCTCCCACCTTGCCCATGCATCCCTCACACCAAAAAGAAAAACATCCCCAGGCAAAGAGAAAATATGATATATCGACGACAACAACATTTGTTGCTGTGCTTGCTCTTGTGTGTCATTTGGCATGCAAGCACACCCATGTAATGCTTTGCAGATAGAAGGTAACCAAAAAAAGGAACGTGCAGTGCATATGCAGCTTCAACTAAAGCTAATTGATCGAGGGAGAGTTGTCTTTTTGCTGTGTCCCGCAAACGAGATCCAACATTATTTTTTTTCCTATACATGATAATGAGGAGATACTTACTGGCCCGATGTTCGAGCTTGCAGGGAATAAGGATCATATGGGCAGCCAGGCCATGGGTGGAGGCGAAACTGAGAACGACCAAGCTTCCAAAAAAAAAAAAAAAAAAAAAAAAAAAAAAAACAGAAAGGGCGAACCGCTCACAAAAGTGGCTCGCTGACGGACGAATCAGATGTTAAGACGCATCTATAGATGCTTTGCAGCCAACAACCCCGCACCAAAAGAGACAGGGGGTGGACCGATAGTGGATGGATGCATGGTGGCAAGCAAGCGAGTTCAGGCATTCATCGAGGCGAGTCGAGTTGAGAGAAAAAAAGTCAACAGCATTAACGTTAACTTAGGGGGAAATCATATTGATTGCGTGCAAAGGGAGTCTCCGATTCAATTAGAGATCGAAAAACCGTCAAAGTGAAATAGGAGAGAGCCGTTGGAGATTGTACACACCTTCGTCCCCCTTGGCTTTTGGGGCCTCCTTTTTGTCTGTTGCCTTTTTTGGAGGCATATTCTCGTCTATCGACAGGGCAATGGAAGTTGGTGCCAGGAAGCGAGCTAATGAGAAGCAAGGGCCTCCAAAGAGTGCACGGATTATTACGTGATGATAACTTGATACAAGCGAAACAGTGGGTGCCGAGATGCGATGAGGTGGTGAGGATGGTGATATTGGATTCTTGGGTCAGGTCAACACGAGACCAGTCGCGGTGAGGTCAGTTTCATTTGATTGTTGATTGATGGCGCCCAAGAAACAACGCAAAACCTACCACGCAACTCATGCAATGACTGTGACTCGCAAGAATTCCCAGCTCACCCCTAGGCTAGTGATGGATTGGGCTCGATGTAGAACTTGAACCATGGTTACAATTGGCTGGGTTACGTGCTTCCTAATGCACTGGCCAGTGCTAAATTCGAGATACCATGGGCATTGTTACCAAATTACCAAGATTCTCCTTTCCAGCGCAGTTCCACAAAGATAGATTTGAATAGGGGGGCATTGAAGATAAAGTTGAAATCTTTTTATAGCCAGCCCGCCTACACTCTGGGCACATATATAGTTTCGTAGACTACACAAGTTCATCTCAGCTTCATATTGCACATACTACGAGACCAATTGCACCCATCACTAATGCATTCATCACAATAATATCAACGTCGTATAATGTCCCTCTTTTTATGAGTAGAAAATTCGCCAAAAAAAATCAAAAAAAATCAATAGTATGGTCAAGGGCTGGTTCGAACAGTCATCTCTGGGTACGTTAGTAGTATAATTGCTCCTAGTATAGGATACCAGTAATATAGCTTCTAGCGCTCAACTGGTGATCAACCAGCGAGCATCCCAGTGTTTTACCAATTAAACTACAAGACCTGATAATTCTTTTGTAATATTCATGGAGTATTTATAGGAGGGGATCGGAGATGGTTGGAGTAGTAGCACTTGGCTACAGGGCATTTCGATGTCATTACCAAAGCCAAATGTCTTGAACGTATTCTTCTTCAATCTTATCTACAGCGCCAATATTACTCCCAGAATTGCCATAAGGTCTCAAGGCTGCCTTTATACCTTTGTAGGTAACTTCGGCAGAAAGCTGGCTGCCGCACGCCATGTATAAGACCATAAGATATCTAGTTCATAGGCGCTTATAAATATTTCGATAGGCTCCCTTTTTGTCGGTTAATATCACTGCAATATTGGCCCCGATACGTATCGATAGTGCCGAGACTACCGTCTGGGGTTTTGGCCGGTTTCTCAAGACGGTTTATAGAAAAAAGGGGACTTAAAACAGTATAAATAACAATTTGAAAGGGAATAAGACGGCTTGTTTCCCTTTTAAAATGCTCTACTATTCGGAAGCGGTCCCAGAATGGTACCCAAACCCCCTACGATAGATATTGACATCTCGCTCTATGTACTGAACGGCCTAAAAATGCAACAATTTTGTGTGTTGCGGGCGTTAGGGGGGTTACCATGTCTGGATCGTAACTAAGAATTATATAATATTCTTCTATATTTGATCAATTGACGAAACTCGGTTGATCGATCAGAGCGACTAGAGAAAAACATTTCGAACATATATAAAATTCTAGAATAAATAGGTAATCAGTCTGAATATGTTATGGATAAGTCCGCTACCATTGTTGAATATATATCTATCCGTCCTATTGTCCCTGGGTCTAGCTATAGATCGTCAACTTCAAACGCCCCCTTCCTTTATTACTTCCTTGATCGATACTTAACTTCATAATCAGTCTGATTATATATATATATATTTAATAAAGACAATGTGGACTCGGGACTATCGTCGAAAACCATTGACTCCCGTCAGGGAGGAATCAATATCTGGAACATCCGGCTCGATTCGTCCAAAATCCAGTACTACCTCGCCTCAGCGCGGAAACTCAATTGAACTGGAACCTGTCCGGTCATTCCTTGGCAATTTGCTCACCACGAGGTCGCAATCGACGGATGAGATTAACGAAGCGGTAGTTTCCGCATTCCTTGCCGGCCGTCGTACACGCTTTACCGGTGATGGTAACCAGGAGGAATACGGGAGCAACTCTGGGCCTCCCGGGCTGTTTGGGCAGGAGGATCCGAGTACTAGCATGGCGAGTCCTGTTATTGGAGATTCCAACCGGCTGTTTGAGGGCTACAAGCATAAAATATATCAGAGTCTTGCCTTGACGGTAGCTTCGCTGGGTGCTTCCATCGAAGGATATGTATGAAACCCAATTCCTTTTACTGTGGCGTACTAAGGCACGGCTAACAGGGATATTATTTAGGCGATATTTTTACCCTTAGTGATGAGAATAGTTTTCACACTGTCAAAGTGGGATTCAGCTAAGGCTAATGCGGCCTACGAATTCGAAGCTCTCCAGCTCCGTACCTGGTCCATCCCTATTTTTGAGGTCTCCATATTCTTTGGCATGGCGGTTGGTAGCATATTGGCCGCTTTTCTATCTCGGAGGTACCGCGAGAACGATCTGGCACTCTCCTCCCTTACTCTGGTATTTATTGCACATTTAGCAATGGTGCTGTCTGGACGGGCTCAAGGGATTGGATTTTACCCCGTGATTGTTTTTTGGCGCATTCTTGTAGGCGTCGGTATTGGGGGCATCCGTAGCGTAAGTACATTGCCGGTGTCTCGGTAAGGCTGCCCTTAACTCTGGAACCGATCTTTCTTCACTCGATTGACGGAAGTGTAGAGTTACCAATCCACAATGGCGAGGCGCTCGCATGGGATATTTTGCTTTAAGCGGTGCCATTGGATACTGCTCTGTATTGCTCACCAGCTTCGGTAGTGTTGCAATTTACAGATCACAATTACAGAAAATGGTCTGGAATTGCAATGGTGGGTGCAATGTCCCTGCTTTAGACCAGTCTTGGTGAGTAATTGTCGTGGCGGAGCCCTTTAGGGGACTAGGTAATAATACGTTTAGTTTAAGTCTGATACCTTATAATATAGGCGTCTAATAGCTGGTGGTCTTCTGCTGTCCACCTTTCTGGCAATCCTCTTTGTGATTCCCCAGGATATACATAGAAAAACTCCCCGACCAATTCTCGCATTCACCCCGTCATTCGAACGTTTCGCCAAAACCTATCGCAATGCCAAATACTATTATCCGTTGGTTTTTATCGGTATCATTCAGTTTCTCACTTGGTTTATCTTTTACGGTATTCTATTCCACATGCCCACGATTCTTTGGGAAGCCGGGTATATACCGCGCAATATAGCCAATGGGACCTTGGACTACTTCATGCGCGAATATATTGGTGGTATGGCAATCCTAGTGGGGGCCGGAATTGGATCTGGGTACATCCTACTTTGCCTACTAGTTGATCGCCTGGGACGTAAAACGCTTCTGTTCGCATCATATTGCATTTTAATGTCCTGCCTGGTTAGTCTTGCGGTGCTTTGGGCTCGTATACCTATGATTGGGCGGATGCTAGTGATAACCGTGGTGCTCATGGCCCTGAGCGCCGGGCCTATGGGCTGTATGTACATTTACACGGGCGAGGTATTCCCGAGGGGATATAAAGTGTGGGGGGTCATGGTTGCGGATTTGATCGGCTATCTTGGGGCTATAGCTGGAGTGATATCCACAGAGTTCTTTCTTCGTCGCGTGGCGAGTGATAGGGCCATACCGCTGATGAAAAAACCTGGACTGAACATTCCATGGATGCAAGCTTTCTGGGCTTTTCTGGGTGCATGCATAGTTATTCAAACTCTAGCGGCACTTGGGGTAGTTGAGACTGCGAGGAAGGAGGCCGAAGTTATTGAAGGGGAGGTTTATGGGAATTGGGGGAAATGGAATGGTAGGAGGATGAGACCTAAGCAAGGAGTTACGGAAGCGGAAGCGGAACCTGAGCCTGTGGGTGTGGCTATATGAGTATGGGTTCCTTTGTTTTTTGGGTTTTAACGACGCTGGTCCCGGGTATATATATGGGATTAAAGGAGCCGTTTAGGAAGTATCGATGGTTTGATGCCGTCCCGGGGCTCTGGTTTTATAATTAAGTTCCATCGGGGTTAGTGTTTTTGTTTGCAATGGATATCTTTTGGGGCAATTCCTGATTAGTTGATCCAGTGAGTTCTTTTATAGTTCTGATGCTGTAAGATTGTAATATATACGTCTGTCCTATATTTGATAAATTTCAATGACAATGATAACATATAGTGGGTATCATCTCCCCAAGCTTGCTACAGCGCCAAACATCATTCCTACGAGTCCCTCAAGCCCCTTTCCATCTTGATGGGTACCGCCTGACCTACTTGATGGACTTCCAGCAGCATTGCCAGCGTTGACTCCACGGATAACGCAATCCCTCAGTCCATTTCTAACTTTATCCCTACTATCCCTTAGATTCTTCGCCACCAGCCCTCCCTTAGACATGATTTCCCTAACCCTGGGGTCTAAATTTGACGCTAGGGTTCTAAAGAAGTGGGTTGTGAGGGATGGGGTGTCTAAGGAGGAGAGGAGTGGAGTTAAGAGGGTCTCTTGGGCTTCCTTTTTGTTTCCCGAGGGTCTGTCTCCTTCTGTTCCATCCTCAGACTCTTCGTCTGAAGAGTCTACAGTATTGGAATTATCCGTTAATCCGGAAGTTGGATCGAATGCAGGGGTCGAAAATGTTAGTTGTGATGGATTGGTTGAAATATTGGCTGGTATTGATTGTAGGATCTTCTCGAGAGCCACGATATTTGCTGCTCTAGTAGACACTTCGGTCAGTGTCCTGTCGAGGGTTGATAAAGTCGTTAAGCTTCTGCTTAACGAGGCGAGAGAGGTTGTCAGTTGAGACTGAAGGTATGAGGTTATAGTTGATGTTAGAAGACTGGCCGGGGCTTTGGCGTTTGACGATGAGGTTACACCCGCTGCTGGAGTATAAGATGTTGGAGACAGGATATGGAGGACTAAAATTGCAGCTGTTGCCCGAGAACGAGTTTCCGAGGTTGTAGGTTCTTTGTCTGCGCTCGACGAGAGAGCCGAAGCTGAGGAGGATGAGGCAAAGCTGAACTCTTTGATTGTCTGCTGAGCCCTTGATTTGATGGTTCGATCCGCTGGTGTTATAACTGTATTTAAGAGCGTTTTCATGACATCCAGAGTCTCTAGGCCGGGAGCTTCGCCGGTAGCATTGGAATACATTCGTCGTAGTTCGACGATTGTGTATGCTGCACGTATCAGCGCTTTTGGGTCCTCCTTTCGCGGCCGGCGAGGGCCTCGCGAATCATCCGCCGCTCCTGTGGAGATAGCCTCTGATAATTGAACCTCCAATTGTCGTCCGAGCAGGAGACATCGCGTACAACCTCTTAGCAAACGTGTTGTTCGTGCCAAGTTCTCAACAACGGTATTCAGGGGCTTTGCAGCATCGTGACGGTCTAGGACTTCCCGCGAAAGACGTGCATATGACGCGGAAAGCTGAGTTAGCTGCTCGCGAATGCTCTCGACCAAAAGCTTGGAGTTATCGCGTGAGACTTTGGCGTGTGTTAGGAGAGGTTCGGCGGACGACGTCGTTAAGGTGTGGATGTGGGTATCAATTTCCTGGAGGTCGAAGAGCACCCGAGATAGAGGGGTACTCAGGTCGAGCGTCGTATCTGAAAGATTATTCGTAGCGTGTATTAGGGTATTCGCGAACGAATAGGGTGAGAATTCGGAGTCGAGGAAGATGTCGAAGTCGATGTAGGACGGCGCAACCTTGTTGAGGGCATCTTCACCATCATCTGGGGCCGTGACCTCCACGGTGGGGTCATTCATCGTGACTATTTGGGCATTGGCAGCCAGTCGCCAGCAACTTGGGCTGGGCGGAGCTGTTTGGAGCTCGAGATGGTGGAGTTTGAGAGTGGTGGAGTGGTGGTTGGAGGAGGACAGGTTGGGGTC